TAGGATGCTTTGAGGGTGAGTAAAACACAGGCTAATTTTCACTTTTGGGTGAACTAACCCTTTAAGTGGGATGCTTATAATACATATATACATACTGTATACAAAATATATATATATATATATATATAATGTGAACAAAACAGCTGTATCACGCACATCATATCCTGACTTTTTGCTTTATTTTTAACTTAAGGTTTGAGATGATCTGGTTTGCTTCATGTCCTGATTATTTCATGCTCTCTCTCTCAATGCTACTAAAGAAGCAAAAAAAAGAAAACATAAAATGTAAAAAAGCACAGCTTCCACACTGCCAGTAATAGTTTCCTAAGCAGTACGTTTGTTCTGTAGTCAGCACACTGCACTTGACACTGTCAATTACAATTAAGTGTATATATAAATATGCACATTACTTAAATCTCACACCACAGCCAGACCGGGAGAATATTGCAGGCAAATTCAGCACAAGGATCTCAGTCACTCACCCAGTTCACAGGCTGAACCTGTCCATCCACTGGGACAGAAGCAGCGGCCGCTCTCAGGGTCACACGAACCCCCGCTCTGACACAAACACCTCTGAACACAGCCCGTCCCGAAGAATCCAGGAGAACAACCTGGAAAAACAGGAATACAAAACCGGAACTAGAACATCATCCAAAACTATACAGACTCAAAGAAAAACCATACAGTACACAGGCCACAAAATCACTGCTGTGCTTCATTAGAGGCCTACTCTACTCTTCACACTGTCAGTGAGCATTATGGGTCTTGGTTACTTTTATTCAATAAATATGCATGATTACAGTACATAAATACAGAGCTGATCCTCCCTATATGCAAAATACGCAAGCTGCGAAACTCGAAATACGCAAGGGGGCCCCCCGAAACACCAGGGGAAAACATGAATGGTCATTTCTTTTAATGTAGTGCGCTGTCGCCCTTTCTACATAAAAATCAGTTAAATCATGTAATCTGAATTTCGTACAGTCTTGCTCCAGACTAAAAAAAACGAGTTGAAAGCGTACCGAGCCACGGAATAGACACTGTTTCTCAGGTGCTTTCCGCGAGCGCGATTCGAGACGGAGTGAAACACGGACAAATGCATTTCATTCATTCGTTCATAACCACTCATACCCCACTTCAATAAGAGTCTCATCTCCATTCCCTTTAAGAGCCAGTTGCGCTCATGCCATGGCATATTTGCTATTTACATTGCGGAATTTGCAAGCACAAAGACAGAAAAACCTCTCCAGAGATGAAACAGAGCTGCTCCTGCGCGAGCAAATAGGTAGCCTAATTCTGATACATGCAATGACTATCCATTATGACATGTAGGCATTTTTACATCTATGTAGCCTACACAATAATAATCTTTTACATTGCAATCCTTTAATTTTTGTATATTTGGCATGTTTGTGTGCTGCTGTGCGTCCCTGTGTGTAATAAGCAGAGAGTACGCGCGCTGTGGACCCGCCTATACTAACGCGCTCTTTATATAACAAAAAAACTACTGCGCCATTGACTTTAAACCAGGTTTTTGTTGGTCAATGGCGCAGTCTATTTCAGTTGCCTAAAAATAGCAACGCACCAGCAATGCGCCTGAACACACTTGTGAGCGCACAAATGGGCGCAAATGCATTTCCTATTTAAACAACGTGGCGCAGGACATGAAAATGACAACTGCGTAGGGCTGAAACTAGCAAAAAACACAGCATTGCGCTGGGTGTATGATAGGGCCCACTGTTTCTCAAGCGCTTTCCGCGAGCACGATTCGAGACAGAGTGAAACACGGACAAATGCGTTTCATTCATTCGTTCATAACCAACCACCCCCCACATAGTTGTGCATGAAAATTCCAGCAGATCAGCAGTTTCTGAAATACTCAGATCGGCCCGTCTGAAACTAGCAATCAAGCCTCGTTCAAAGTCATTTAATCAGCTTTCTTCTCCATTCTGATGCTAAGTTTGACTTTAAGCATACTGTCTTGACCATACCTAAGGGGACATTTACACAACACCGTTTTCAACAAAAAATGGAAAACTTTTTATGTGTTTTGGCCGTTCATTTACATGACAATGGCATTTTAGAGGCTCGAAAATGCAAACTTTTGAAAATGGCTTTCAAAGTGCACGTTTTTGTAAATGATACCATTATCGTCGTCTTGTGAACTACCTAAATGGGAATTTGTGAAAAAGGTGACATAACATGTTTACATGTTTCTTTACAAAGTGATATTGCCTCCTACTGGTCTGGCATGCATAATACAACGTTTTAGTCGTTTTTTAAGGATCCGTTTTCTGTTTTTAGCATATTGTCATCATGTAAACATACCCTATATGCATTGAGTTGCTGCCATGTGATTGGCTGATTAGATATTTGTGTTAACATGCAGTTCAACATGTACCTAAATAAAGTGGCTGGTGAGTGTGTATATTATTAAAAAAGATTTCTATTTCAAATGAATGCTGTTCTTTTGAACTTTCTATTCACTAAAAAAATAATTTAAAAAAGTATCACGGTTTCCACTAAAATATGAAGCAGCACAACTGTTTTCAACATTGCTAATAATCATAAATGTTTCTTGAGCATCAACACAGTATATTAGAATGATTTCTGAAGGATCATGTGACACTGAAGACTGGAGTAATGATGCTGAAAATACAGCTTTACATCACAGGAATAAATTACATTATAAAATATATTAAAATAGAAAGTGGTTATTTAAATATTGTAAAAATATTTCTGTTTTTACTGTATTTTGATTAAATAAATGCAGCCTTGGAGAGCAGAAGAGACTTCTTTCAAAAACATTTAAAAAATAGTACAGACATATATATATATATATAAAACATTTTAATGACTGACGCGTCAGTATCTTACGTTGTGAGCAGGTGTCTCCCGTCCACCCTGCGCTGCACTCACACTGACCGCTTGCAGCATCACAGCTGCTGTTATTGTGACAAACACAGGTCTGAGAACAGCTCGCTCCATACAATCCAGCAGGACACGCTGCAGACCAGACAAACGGCACAGACATTACTCACTGGAAAACAGCTCATTGTGTGCGAGCCAGAAAGACAGATGTGCTCGTAAAAGAAGAAATTATAATCATAACGTGTGCTCGAGATCCTGCTGACTGCACAAATCCTCCTTTTTTGAAAAGGCTGTTCGGTTTTAACAACTTCAGCAATGTCCTAGCTGAAGAGGTCTATTAAAGGTACAGTTATAAAGCATAGAAGTGAAGATAAAATGCTACAAAAGTTAAACATCTTTAAGAATAAGCTCACTTTGGTTACAGTGTGGGCCGATCCAGCCAGGCCGACAGGCACATTCACCACTGACATGATCACAGAGAGCTCCGTTCATACACACACACTTCTGCTGACAGTCCAGACCATAGAAACCCTGCGGACAGGCTGGACACACACACACAAACAAATCAAAAACCCAAAACATGACTGATGTTAATATATGTTAAGTGGAACAATCATACGTTTTTCACAGAACGTTCCCGTCCAGCCAATCTTACAGGTACAAGCTCCGCCCACATGGTCACATGACGCCTGGTTTTCACACTGGCAGCGATGCTTACAGCCCAGGCCGAATGAACCAGCAGGGCATTCTGGGACAGACACAGATCACATCAAATGCATGATAAATACTGTAACATTTATAACAGATAGAAGGCACACATAAAGACTGTCAAATCTAAAATAAGAAAATATATGGAATATGTGTACATTTGTCAACTTGCAAGACTATTTAAAATGAATAAGTGAAGGCAAAATGGTTTGAATAAATAAATGGATAAAGTTACAGGACCATAGATATACATTTGTCCTAATATACACATATAAATGTAACGTATCAACTATGCATTATTTTATTTTGCATGTTTTCAGATTCTTTTCCTCATATTTCATTTTCAAGTATTAATAATGAATACTAGTACCTTAAATACTGTAACATTTGTACAGATATAGCAGTATACATGGAATATAGAAGAACTATTAAATCTCAAATAATTCCACTCTACAAGGGAAAAAATGACATATTATATCTCCATTTTTTAAAAATAATTATTATACATGGTGATTTTATGAGCACATATGAATTAAGAGACTAAGTAAAATATTTGTACATTTAGAAATTCATCTGTCAACCTGCAAAACCATTTAACATCAACAAGTGAAGGCAAAATGCAAATAAATAAAATAAATACATAGAGGAAAAAAACTAAAGGAAATGGTTATAGTAACTGTATCTTAAATATTTTCCCTAATAATATAATATAATATAATATAATATAATAAATATAATAAATATAATATAATATAATATAATATAATATAATAAATAATTTTTTTACTTAAATTATTTTAATAAAAAATGTTGTTTCAACTATCTTTTTAATTCATTTTATTATTTTTTCATATTGTTTATTTATTTATTTTATATTGCACATTTTCCTATATATTTTTTTGTATTTCATTATCTTTTTTTTGTATTTCATTATCATAAAAACGGTAACATTTATAAAAGATATTAGATATACATGGAATATAGAACTTTCAATCTAAAATAAAACAATGAATGCAGAGATGTCACCGCATTTTAACACCGAAAACCATAACCAAATATTAAATATGCAATATAATGAAACTGAAATAATTTTGACAATGATATTGTAAAGTGCATCCTACAGAAAGTATCATGTGTTTCTTTAACACACGTTTACATTTATGTATTTGGCAGACGCTTTTATCCAAAGCAACTTAGATTGCATTTAAGGTAGAGCTAGCATTGCAAGCGCTATTCTGTTTGATCTGCAGGAATGCAGTGAGTGTTGTTGTGCGTGCAGGTGTTTCACTCACTCTGGTCACATCGAGGTCCAGTGAAACCCGCCTCACATTGACAGCGTCCGGTCTGAGCATCACAGCCTCCGTCACCATTTCGACAGTCACACACATTCACACAGTCCAGACCCCAGCGGCCCGCGTCACAGGCTACAACACACACACACACACACACACATTATCCCCTCAAACATTATCTCAAAATCAGTGCTGGATGAAGAACACAAATATTTATATAACACAAATACTTGAGTAAAAGTACAGATACCGTAACAAAATATTATTCCAGTAAAAGTACTCATTTTCATTTTTACTTCAGTAAAAGTAAAAAAATACTAGATTTTTTATTGCACTTAAGTTCGGGGGTCAAAGACATGACGTCCCATTTTGGTGTCTGCATCCAATTTAAAAAAGTGATTTTTTTTTTAACACAGAAAGCATATTAAATGCAAAGTAAAGTGTCTTTAATGTTTCAAATAACTTTTGTGAAAACAGTAAAATATGGGTGAAATAATGTTCCATCATCATTCAGCGTAACAGGCATATTTATGTAAAACTGAAAAAGTTAAAATGAGACTGACACTTGTTATAAGTGATCATACCACATTTTATTATATTTTAAATGATTTAAAACTTCTTGCTGACAAATGGGTAAAACCTAGTGGTGTGAAGGATAGTGGCAAAGATTAAAAATGACAACTAATTAGTATTTTAAGGCTGAACTGTGATCCTTAAATAGAGTGTTTTAATGTCATCTAATGATTCTTGTTATAAATATTCCTGATATTTAGAATAACTATTTTGTATTTATTTATTTACTAAATATTTAGTATATAAACTACTGTTACACTGAAATACGTTTTAGTGGGTGTCTTCTGTAAATCATGGTAAAAATGTAAGATAGTCATTATTTTGGGCTCAGAAAACAATCAAATTAAACATGACGTATTCTAACGTACGAAAACAAATCAAGCTGTATTAAACTTTTATTGTTTTGGTGCTTGAAAACCACTCGAAAATCACCCACTGATTTATGAACCACGTTAGTCAAGAAAAAAGATTTATATCCACCAATGTTCAAAATTGTCATTTATTTTGTATAATTACATAATAAATAAATGAAACACACCCTTCCTGCAGTGGTGGCCCGTCCAGCCAGGAGGACACGAGCAGCGTCCGGTTACAGGATGGCAGCGAGCTCCATTATCACAGGCACATCTGAGCTGACAGCCCGCACCAAAACGTCCCGCGGGACACACTGAACACAGAGAGATTGACGAAACAGCACAAACAGAAGAAATGCATCTGGTTTTGAGAAGCACAGAGATTCACTCACTGTTCTGGCACAATCTGCCGATGAATCCAGGAGCGCAGACACACGTCCCGTTACGCCGGTCACAACGGCCTCCGTTCTCACACACCGGACACGATTCCCGACATTCAATGCCCCAGCGACCCTCCGCACACTCTGATGCAGAAACATAGTGTGTTTGAATTCTATATATGGCCAGTATCATTAGTGACTCTCAACATTATGCTCCGAGTCAATTTGACCCGCAACACATTTCTTAGTTGTCGGAAATACTGGTTTACCTAGGTTGTTTTTCTTGAAATTGTGTGACTATTTCTCATATCGGCTCGTGAACATGCCAGCAAAGTGTCAACACTGAGGTGTTGTGGAATGTGCGTACAAAATTTCTATTACAATTGTAATGTTATGATGTCAGTTGGACTTTTGGACAAATTTTTGGACAGTTGGACAAATTTCATGTTTAAAGGCAGGTGCACAAATTCAAAATATATTTGTCATTTTCTTAACTACACTCTGAGGGTATTTACATTTACATTTATGCATTTGGCAGACACTTATATCTGCAGAAATTTATGTAAAATAAAAAGCAAAATATAAAAAATAAAGGAACAAACAAATAAAAATTGTAATTAAAAATAACCTGAATTTTTAAATGTAAAAATAAAATACTGTTTACAATATTCACATTCTGTGAAACACAAATGTCTAAAAATAGTTAAATAGTTAATAGTTAAATACAGTTGTATATCTGAAGAAATGTATGTAAATTAAAAATAAATGAATTAAAAATAAAAATAACCTAAATTTTAAATTTAAAAATAAAAAAATGAAAATACTGTTCATAATATTCACATTTTGTGAAAAACAAATGTTTAAAAATAGTTAAATATTTTATAGTTAATAGTTAAATACAGTTATATATCTGAAGAAATGTATGTAAATAAAAAAATAAATTAATTAATCAATGAATTAAAAATAAAAACAACCTAAATTTTTCATTTAAAAATAAAAAAAATTCAAACACTGTTTATAATATTCACATTTTGTGAGAAACAAATGTTTAAAAATAGTTAAATACAGTTTTAAAAATCATTGGATTTATTGGCTTTTTTGGTAATGTGTTTTTTCCTGATTTTCTTGTTGTTGTTAGTTTGTTTGATTGTTTTTTCATGCTGTGATTTTTGAATTGCATTGAATACAAGTACCCAGAATTTTAACATAACACAAGGGTTAAACAACATTATGTGAACATGCAGAATTTTCTTATAGGATTATTTTGTCTATGAGCCACTAATACAAGTTTACAGTATTAAAATACTGTAAATTATTTTATTATAAGCTAAGGGTCTTTTTAATAGATGTGAAAACAATATAAAAATATAGAACAATCTAAGAATGACATGCTAATGTCAGCATGGCAATATTACCTTTTTCACAATGTTTTCCAAACGTTCCAGCGGGACACAAGCATTGGCCAGTGATCCTGTCACATGGTGCCCCTGAGCAGTCACATGACTGAGAGCAGCCAATCCCAAATCTCCCATCAACACAATCTATCACAGTAATGGCAAAAACATTTATGGTGCTGAACGTTTGGAGCTTTAATAGGAGAAGGTGTGAGACACAAATCAAACCACATTCAATATCCACATGCAGCTGTATCGATCTGATCAGTGACTGAGGCATTTCAAATACTTCAGCTCTAATGACCTTAATGGCATATAGACATTTCATGCATCTATAATTTCACTTTATTGATCTGATCAGTGACTGATGCATGTCAAACACTTTAGCTCTAATGACCTTATTGTCATATAGACTCTTTATATATCTATAATTTGACTTGATGTACCTTGGTCACACTTGTGTCCTCTCTTTCCAGCTGGACACTGCGGTTGACACGCTCCGGTCACATGATCACAGGTCACTCCAGCCGGACAGGAGCATTTATTATCACAGCCAGAGCCAAAGAAGCCTGATTCACATGCTGCAAGGAAAAACAATTAATACTGATCATATACACTGTATCTCCATCTAAAACTTTTGTCAACTGTCCATTTTATTGAAATTATTCATTTAATTTAATTATTATATTGCATGTTTTCCAATTCTTTTCCCTGTATTTAATTAAAGCATTTCAAATGCAATTTTAAAATAAATAAAATAAATTAAAATTAAAATATAGAATAATATTACTTAGAATAATAATACTTTGTATAAATAATATTCATTTTAATTTTTTATTTTATTTCATGTTTTTATTCTATTTTATATTATTATTTTATTTTTAAAGTGCATGTTTTCCAATTATTTTAATTGCAATATATTTCATGTATTTCAAAGCAAATTTAAAATGAAAAAAGGTTAAAAGGCTATGAATTAACAATCAATTTAATTTAATTTAATTTTAGATTGCATTGTTTTCCATTTTGTCTTAAGTAAAGCAATTCAAAGCAAATTTAAAATAAAAAAGATTAAGATGATATGTGTCGACAACTATACATTTATTTTTAGATTGCAATTTTAAAATGTTATTTTAATCAAATTTTTACATTATGCTTCCAATTCTTTTCCTTGTTTTTCATCAAAGCATTTCAAATGCAAATTAAAAAAATAATAATTATTTAATTTAATTTAATTTTAGATTGCATGTTTTTCCATTCTCATATTTCATTAAGGCATTTCCAAGCACATTTAAAATAAAGATTAAAATGCTGTGCATCAACTGTCCATTTTATTTTATTTGTATTTGTTTTATTTTATTTTTAGATTGTTTTCACATTCTTTTCCTTCTTTTCATTAAAGCATTTTTAAATGCAATTTAATTTAAAACAATTTTTTTTATTTAATCTAATTTTAGATTGCATGTTTTTCCATTTTTGTTTCATTAAAGCATTTTTAAATGCAATTTAATTTAAAAAAAAATTTTTATTTAATCTAATTTTAGATTTTCCATTTTTGTTTCATTAAAGCATTTTCAAGCAAATTAAAGATAAAAATGCTATATATCAACTACCCATTTTATTTTTTTTTTACTTATTATTTTATTAAACTTTTATTTTTAGATAGTTTTCCTATTCTTTTCCTTGTATTTCATTAAACCATTTCAATGCAAATTTTTCAGTGCAATGCAACCTTGCATTAACAACACTTCAGGCGTTCATTATGCAAACGTACCGTCTTTGCAGGTGTCTCCCCGATAACCCGGCTTGCAAATGCAGGCGCCATGATGACGGTGACACTCTACAGTGTTCTGCTCAACACACTGACACTCTTCAGAACAGCCTGGGCCAAACGTCCACTTAGGACACGCTGCATGAACACAGAAGACAGAAAGTCATACCAGATTACAAATATCCTGTTGCAACTGGAGCCTGTTTTAATTGCTCTACAAAGCACAGTGTAGTTAAAGTGGCAAAGTACAGCACTCACGTAGGTGGCAGAACCTTCCGTACAGTCCCGGGTCACACAGACACGCCCCGTAAGTGCGATGACACCGTCCGTTATTAGCACAACTACACTTCTTATTACAGAACTTCCCATAGAGACCCTTGGGACAACCTGAAGTGATTGCATCGATATCAGTATTATAAATGATTTGCATTATGTCTGTTATATCCAGTGTTGGGGAGTAACTAGTTACATGTAACGGAATTACGTAATTTAATTGCAAAATAAAAGTAACTGTAATCAGTTACAGTTACTAAGAAAAAATGTGTAATTAAATTATAAGTAGGGTAACTTGTAATCTGTAACCTATTACATTTCCAAAGTAACCTTCCCAACACTGGTTATATCTCTCCATACAGTGAAGGTGTCAATGTAAACGGACCGTCCTGACACAGCTCTCCACTGACCCCTGGTGGACAGCGGCAGCTCCCGGTGACCGGATCACACACACCGCCGTTCTTACACTTACAGCTCAACAAGCAATTCCTGCCGAACAAGCCCTCCGGACACGCTGGACAACACACACGCAGAAAGAAAGAGGCCAGGAGCTTTTAAAAGACATGCAGCACAATATAAACATATCAGAAAGAAACATGAAATTAACCCTATAAAGCCTACTGTTTCATATCTGATTTCTAAGGCCTCTAAATGCTCAGCATGATCCAAACTTTGCTGAACATGCTTGCTGTTGTCTGATTGATAGTTTATGATTTTTTAGCAAGTAAAAGGCCTTTTAGTATAATTATAAAAACATCCTCCTTCAGCTGTGGTTCACGTGACTTTTTGCTGTGAAATCTTTACTAAACATAAGAATAACTTTAGTTAGTTAGTAATATTTCCAAATCAACACTTACTGCACTAAAGCAGCTTAGCTTTACTTGATTATCCAGACATCATTTTTTTTAGAAAAATCATGTTCAAATGAGAGTATCAAATCTGATCATCAAGCTTTTGAGGAACGTTTATTTGTTCATCTCTCAATCAACACTGTTATGGAAACTCATTTCCGCCACTAAATAAAAAATTTAAAAAGGTCATTGCGACTTTTTATCTCACAATTGTGACTTCTTTTCTCAGAACTGAGAGATATAAACTCGAAATTATGAGTTATAAAGTTCAATTCTGACGAAAAAAAGATTGAACTCACAATTGCTTGTTATAGTCGCAATATTGACTTTATAAAACACCATACCTGTTAATCCTCCCGTTTTTCCCGGGATTCTCCCGTATTTTACCATTCTATCTCGCTATCATCCCGTTTAAATATTTTCCCGTATTTTTAATCTTTCTATAAAAATGTTTAAAAAATCCCACTGGGCGTATTTTGTATGTTTGCTACATTCGCTTCCGGTAAAACTCCCGTAATTTGTATGGGCCAAACCTCATTATATGAATAATCACGACAACAAATTCCAAGGTTGTCCAGTTGCCAGATCTTGTGTGAAACGCATCTTTCTCACACGATCGACACATACAAATTTCAACCCATTTTTCCCCTCAATTTGGCAACCTACAGCCCAGTGATGCTACTGATATCTGTGCAGGGAGTACCGCGGGAAGGAAACAATGATCACTGGTAGAAATGGGAGGAGAAGACTCCAGTGAAAAAAAAACTAAATATACATGTAAATTGAGATATACTGTAGCTTATGCTTCAAAAGGCTATGGCTCAATTGATTAAATATGAGCGCTGCAAGTTTCAAAGTCAGGTGCTGCGCTGCTTTGTTTACTGTGGTTACCGAGAAACGGCTATATTCTTGGCGAAAAGCACCACCTGCTGGCAAAGAATGAATTAGCATTTTTCAATAAGCCCTTCTGCTCAATGTTTAGACCAAAGCCAAAAACGACCCTTATTTTTACGCAGAAAACACGCAGTTGTAAATGTTAACTTGTGGATCGACAAAAAGATAATGAATTATAAAACTATAAAAAAGATACAGCCTACACTAAGATATATTATGTTACTAAATGAATATAATTGTTTGATAATAATTGTTTAAATTCATATAAAATAATATAATAATTGTTACTTTTGACTCCGCCCCCCCTCCCCCTTATTTTGGTACACAAATGTTGACAGGTATGTAACACACAATTGCAACTATATATACACAATTCTGACTTTATTACTTGCAATTCGGAGGAAAAAAGTCCGAATTGTGTTATAAAACTCGCAATTACCTTTATTTTTTATTCAGTTGCGGAAATGGGCTTTCATACTGTATTGCATTACATTACATTTTATGTTTAAAACTAAGGATCTTTGATCATAAATCAAAGCATTTAAATATCATCTTACTAAGATTAAGACTATTAAATATTATTGGGAGATATAGAGTGACAACTGATATTCATATGCATTTTATGTAAGTATTCATTTACAACAATCTATCAGAATTTCATCTTACTTTTTGACCATATAAATAGCAACATCTGCACCAAATTGCATAATTCGCTCATTTTCAGCCTCTGAATAGTATGAGATCCATATTCGCATTACATCTATATCATACTATATAATTCATAAAAGCCTGATGTATCAAATATGATACTCAACAAAAACACATATGCAAAGATCAGATTTTGTTTAAAGGTTCAACAAATTGTTCCACTTCAAAAAATTAGGTTTTTCTGACCAATATTTAATATGTCAGGCTTTACATCTTATTAAATGTCTCTGGTTTTATAGAGCATGATTTGTCATTATACCAAACAACAAAAAAATCTTTCTCCACCTGTGAAATTATTTTTCGGTTTACGCAATCAAGCCTGAGTTTTCTGTTTCATATGAATGTATTGTATATTCCTGATCCGGCTGAGTACTCGCTTGTGGCTCTTTCAGAGAAACTCACTCTCATTGCACACGAGTCCCGTCCATCCGTCAGGACAGTCGCAGCCGTTTCTGTGTTTGTTACACACTCCTCCATTAGCACAGTCCTCACACGACAGACTGCAGTCGAAGCCGAACGAATCATTCAAACATACTGCACAGAGCAGATGAGACAAGAGCTACTTTGCATCAGGGCTCTTACAGTTAACTAAAACCATAAAACAAACCTTTTTGATAACTGAAATAACATCGCAGAACAGAATGACAGAATGTGTTTCTTACTGAATTTCTCAGTTAAGGAGCTCTCAGCGCGCAGTTCTCCCGTGTCGTCCTCGTAGTCGTCGTATCGCTCCAGGATCTGCTCATAGTCCTGCAGGATGGTGAGCGGAGCTTGAGGTCTGTCCACCGTCTGACCACTGCTCAACGCCTCCACCGACTCCTGCAGCACTGACACACACAGTTGCTTTCATTAAGCCTCACGCTTGCTTCAAATGTACTATATGGAGCACATAAGTTTTTCGGTCTGGTTCTCATGAGAGCACCTGAAGATTCGGTTTGGTGCTCACACTGCACATAGTGTGACCCTACTATAAAAAATAAAATCATTACCAGTAATAATAATAATAGTATTGTTGCACTTTATTTAGTAATAATAATAAAGTGTGATAATGCTATTATATTTTTAAATTAAAAAGAGTATTAAATAAAAATACAATTATTTTATAGTACACTTTAAAAATGCAATGCTAATTTATAATATTTTACTTTTTTAATTTTTATATGAATTTTCAACATTTTCAAACCTAAAATCAGCAAGCTTTTATTTTGGTGGGTTGTCGGCAAGTAAGTCTATGCACTGCCAGTTTTAGCGCTGCAGAGTGAAGCGTGTCAGTGAATGAAATGCCAGTTTTGTGTATTTGCTATGAAACCGACAGCGCAAAGCCTAGATTTATGCTTTCATTTCAAATGGATTTGTATACATTATTACAGTTAGTCGATCTAAAACGCTGACTGTGCATTAAGAGCTGTCAACCGTGTCAGTTCGCACATGGGCACTTATGTGCGCCACTCTCAATAATGTTACATTACATAAACTATACTTGAATATCTGCAATTTGAGTGAAAAATCTTCAGTTTTTGATGATCGTCCATTTAATATCTTGAGAACTCTCAACAAACAGAATCATGTGATCCATTTTAAAATACTTTTCATATGCCAAGGAATAGAGATTTGATCGTGGCCTTCTGATCAAGTCACTAGTGCAAAATGCTGTTAACATGATGAAGTGACCTTGATTAAACTAAATTAGGCTTTTACATTAAATCACTTCACCACAATGAGTCAGTTAACAATTCAGAAAGTCTTTGTTAGAAGTCTAATTTGAAATAAATCAGGAGAAAAGTAATTAAAAACAAGTAAAAATAAATGTATTAATAAAATATATTAATATATTATATAATATATATTTTAAAACTAGAATGATTGTTTTTGAAGCCTTTCTTAAAAATCATTCTTGCGTGTAGAATATTTCCTTTATTTGATCTATTAATATAATATAATATTGATTGTGTATATTTAAATTTATATTTTAAAATATATATTTTAAAAACAGAACAATTGTTTTTGAAGCACTTTAAAATCATTTTAGCGAACAGAATATTTCCCTTATTTGCTCTAATAATATAATATAATATAATATAATATAATATAATATAATATAATATAATATAATATAATATAATATAATATAATATAATATAATATAATATAATATAATATAATATAATATAATATAATATAATATAATATAATATAATATAATATAATATAATATAATATAATATAATATAATATAATATAATATAATATAATATAATATAATATAATTTTAAATAATATTTATAATAAATATTATTTAATATTCATCATAAATATTATGTAATATTCATAATAAATATTATTTAATATTTATTTTAACAATTGCTTTTGAAGCACTTCTTTAAAATCATTCTAGCGGACAGCATATTTCCGTTATTTGATGAATTTCTCATATACAGTAAAAGTTGGTTTTATTGCATGCATTATTTGTATTGCATGTATTAAATGTATTATTTTTTTAAAGGAGCTCATAATTAATTTATTGTTCTGTATTAAAAATGATTATGAAAAGAAAACAGGTTCATGACAGGCTGAAGACTCACATATACATGAATGTCTGTCTTCATCGAGACGATACCCGCGTCTGCAGGAGCACTGGAAGGATCCGGCGCTGTTCTGACACGTGTGATCACATCCTCCGTTTGCAGCCAAACACTCGTCTATATCTGTAAGCACACGCATTTCTGGATCTAGATTCCTAAATCACTGAAAATCACTGCAAATGCTTTTTTTTCTCTCTCTCACTTTGAGTGTCATACCATCACAGCTGCATCCATCAGCGTTCAGTCGATATCCGGCTGTACAGTAACACTCGTAACCTCCAGGATAGTTTGTGCAGTCGTGCTCACAACACGAACTGCCGTCTACACACTCGTTTATATCTGACAGATGAAAACACACACCTTGACGTCACTCGGATACTGTGCTTGTGCAGCAAAACAGGAAATGGTCACGTTCGTTTCCTTTACCGATGCAGGTCTTGTGGTCGTCGTCCAGCTGGTATCCTTGGTTACAGCTGCACACGGGTCCATTGGTTGAATGTTCGCAGTGATGAGAACAACCGCCGTTATTATGATCACAGCTGTTTACAATCTCCATCTCGATACCTGAGAGTGGAAAACAACACATTGAAAAGGAATGGAAATTAATTTAATCTAGTGGAAACGCTTGGTACTGCACCCAAATATCCACCAGATATCTGGAACGCAACTTTAGATTTATGATTCTTTTGATTCTTGCAGTTTTGAAAAATGTAAATTGAATATAATTTTTTTTTAAATAGTATTTATGTGCATATTTCATAATAATAAACTTTTACTTCTTCAACTTTTTTCAATTTTACTTTTTTTCACTTCGGCAATAATCTGCAATGTTTCTTCTTCAAAAAAGATACCAAACTTACGTCTGTGCTCCAATTCATTCAAGATTTACAACAGTTTAAGATGGAAATTTCATTTTCAGGTCTATACTCAAAGAGTGGTTAACAGTTAATAAATGGATCATTGCATAAAAACTATTGCATAAATATAATATAATACCATAAAATCCACTAAAAAACAAAACGTTAAACAAAAAAATCTTTATCGAACTTTGTGTGTGTGTATGTATATATAGATAGACAATATTATTTTTATAATAATTTGAAATTGAATAATTCGATATAATTTAATATTGCTAAAAATGTGTTATTCTTTCTATTCTATGTGCATTTTATTTTTTCTATTTTCTATATTCATCTGTATGTGTGTATACGTATATAGAGTTAAAAAAGCATTTAATAACCACAGGACATTTTCATATATACATATATTTCACACCCATTGTATTCTATTCTATTGTGTTCCATTCTATATTATTCTATTCAATGTGTAATAAATTACAGCCTGCACGATTCTATCCACATATTTATTCATATACTGATGTATTTTATACTATTCTATTCATTAGTGTATACATACACACACACAAACACACACACATGTGTGCATATTATATTTGCATAATATATGCACATTATTTATTTGTTTACACTCTGAAAGAAAGTAACAAACAAAAAACTATTTAATGATTTAATGGGCTTTTTCTTGTTTTTGCTACATATGTGAGACATGTTGCATGGAATCTGATGGGGTCGGTCCAGACTCAGATCATACTCACGATAGCACTGCTTGCCATTAACACCCAACTCATAGGCGGCGGGACACACACACATGAAAGATCCCATAGTGTTACGACAACCGTTAGCGCAGTCCGCCTGGCCCGTCTGACACTCATCAATGTCTGACACAAAGAAAAAACACACACACACACACACACACACACACACTTACACTACACTTCAAAGATCACTTGAGTATGAAGACATGATGACCAGTGCAACAGTAATGTCATATCAGGTTTCTATTCTATAAGCATCTGACACAAACGCTACAATCTACACTAAATATAGGTCACAATCCAGGTACATTTTACCTTCACAGGCCTTGTCATCTTCAGCCAGCTGATAACCTGGACGACATCCACAGCGGGCCTGATCTCCATCCTTGCGGCACTCCTGTGAACAACCGCCGTTTCGCTCCGCACACGGATTCAACACTGATGACAGAACAACAGACTGTGTCACAGCTTTACTATTAATGCCATTATTAGGTTGTTGGGTGAACCCCACCCTCACCCACCCCCCCAAACCCCAAACAGGCACATTTTCTCCACCATTCTCCTTGCTGTAACAAGATAATGTGAAATGTATTTAAATTGCATTTTAATTAGCAAGTATCTATTAAACTGCCATTAATGGTAATTTAAATAAAAAATAAACAAAAAAATGAAAACTATACAAAAACAATAATATTACTATTTTAATGAGAATTTGAGAAGAAAATGTTACTTATTTCCCAGGAAAAATGTTTGAATGCAAAAACAAGCAAACAAACAAATAAATAAATATTAACCTTCATTGCTACAAAAAAATAGGCATAATTTCCTTTATGTAATACATACATTAAAATGTTTTTTTTTTCATGTCTAGTATGCACTACAATGCAATTTGCATTCAGAAACTTTTCTTTTCAAATTGTCATTAAAATCGTAATACAATGTTTCCCACACATACCTTTTTAATGATGATTTGCCTTTTATTTATCATGAAAAATAATGGAATGTAAAGAAGAAACACTGGTCATAAAAATAGATGTAATTTTATTATCATCATTATTATTATTATTATTAGGGGTGAAATGTGACCTGGACATGTTTTTGTGAGATTTATCATCTTGTTACACTCATTTCCCATCCTCCTCATCCAGCTGCTCCTCTCACATACTCAGTGTGTTCAACTTGTTTCTGTCCGTCCAACAGCTGCAGTGAAACGATCTGTCTGCAGCCAACAATTACACTTTTACAGAAACAGAATGGCAGAAATTATTCTGCAATCATGATCCTTCATCAGAGCGAGACACGTCTGTGTTCAACTCCAGATGACCTCAGAGACCAGACACAAAGACATGTCCCTGCTGAAGTCACCAGTTTGTGATATTGTGTCATCAAGTGAAACAAAGGGCAACTTCATCACAAAGACCAAAATCATATTTCCACTAAATCTCCTTGAGCAGTTCTTGTGATTCTTTGGGAACTTCAAAGGATGAAAGTATTTGGCTTGAAATACATTCGAACAATAGGACATTAAAAAGAATGTTTTATATTACTTGTACAGTTAAAATTATCTGTCATTAGGACACTTATCAGCATATTCAATCATCTGAGAGTTGAAATGTTCATGCATTATGTGTCAATGATGTTTAATAAATGCTTCAACCTTACAAAAAACAGCTCCACTATGACCTGTTAATCAGAGCAAACACATTCATATCTGTGTGTGGAGATCATTACAGTCAAGCTTTATCTTTATTCATTGCTAATGAATGCAGTTGAAACTATTAAAACAAACAAAAACATCATTTATTTTCCTTCATATTGATATAAACCTGTTTGACTTTATGCTGAATGTCAAAAGGACAAAAAAGCAGCACAGATGCTTCATAAAAGTACTACATATGATTTCAAGTCAAGTTCATATAATAACTTTGCTTAACTACTCTTTATATAAATATATATATATAACATATATATGACAAAAACATATACATACGTATATATATATATATATATATATATATATATGACAAAAATGTGTGTGTGTGTGTATATATAATAAATATATATAAAATGGACTATTTATTAATTAATACATTTATTATTATTATTATTATTATTATTATTATGGGGTGTAATGTGACCTGGGCATGTTTTTGTGAAATTATTTATCATATGTGCACACTGTTAAACAAACTTTATGGTGTTTTGTCCATTTAGGTGCTTTAAAGCCCTTATGTTTGTTCCACAGAAAAAAATAAAAGCATGTTTTGAACATGACAAATAAATGCTTTTTAAAGGAATACACATTCTATTCTATAAAGAACATTTATTTGCTGGTATTAAGTGGAAGAGGCTCCATAATAACAAAATAGATCAACTACACACGTCTCATTTGCTTGTAACACATTCAGTCTGTCTCCACCTGTGCTTTGCATTTTAGTTTCGCTTAAATCCCACTGTCAACAAGTACTGCAAAACTGTGATGGTAAATATGTCGTCAAGCTCATGCTACCATCAGACATCTGTAATGCTCATGGGAAAGTCCTGCAGTTGAACATCAGTGTGGTCAGACTCACATTTGCAGTGTTTCCCGTCTGCGTCGAGTCTGTAATCGGGTCGGCAGCGGCACTGGAAATGACCCGCCGTCTGCTGGACGCAGAAATGCTCACAGCCGCCGTTCCCAACGCTGCAGGAGTGGATGGCTAAACACATGCAGACAGACAGACAGACTGGTGGAGAAGCTTTGAGAAGACAACACTAAGCTGTTATTGTTCAATCTAAAGATCAAACCAGTCATAATAAAGGAAAGACTCTTCGTTAAGTGTTTGACTCTAGCAGTTCCCGAGTTCAAATGACTCCTGCTGCAGGAACATCAATGACTCAACCAACCAAAACATGAACGAAGGAACGCATTGAAAATCACTTCAAACTTCTCAATTATAAATCAGTCTCTATAAGCACACATACAGCAGACAGATTCATGCCAGAAACGCAATTTGTTCTGTAATCGTACTCTCCGCTTCCTTCTTCTGCCCTTTGTGTGTTTGATTAACTTTCCGTCATTCTCTCTTTCTCTCACTTTTTACCTTAAGAGGGGGATTACACTGTACAATACATTACGTCAGTTAAATCAAAATTATTTTCAGATGGTAACATATAAATTAACCTGTTTTATTAAAGTCAATTATATTATGGATAGATAGATAAAACAATGGATGGATGGATGGATGGATAGAATGACAGAATAATGATAAAACAATGGGTGGATGATGGATGGATGGATAGAACGGTAGAATGATGGATGGATGGATAGATAGAACAATATAATGATGGATGATGGATGGATGAATGGAATGATAGAATGATGATGGATGGATGGGCAAATGATGGATAGAACGATAGAATGATGGATGGATGGATGGATGGATGGTGTGATAGAATGATAGAATGATGATAGAACAATGGATGGATTAATAAGGAATGGATGATAGATGGATGGATAGAATGCTAGAATGATGATGGATAGACAAATGATGGATACAATGATAGGATGATGGATGGAATGATAGAATGATTATAGAACAATGGACGGATGATGGATGGATGATAGATGGATGGATAGAATGGTAGAATGATAGATGGATGGATGGATATGCAAATGATGGATAGAATGATAGATGGATGGATGGATAGATGGAATGATGATAAAACAATGGATGGATGATGTGTGGATGATAGATGGATGGACAGAACGGTAGAATGATTGATGGATGGGCAAATGATGGATAGAACGATAGAATGATGGATGGATGGATGGAATGATAGAATGATGAGAGAACAATGGATGGATGATAGATGGATGGATAGAACGGCAGAACAATGGATGGATGGATGGATGGATGGATATGCAAATGATGGATAGAATGATAGATTGATGGATGGATGGATTGATGGAATGATGATAAAACAATGGATGGATGATGGGTGGATGATAGATGGATGGACAGAACGGTAGAATGATGGATGGATTGATAGAGGGATAGAATGATGATAGAACAATGGATGGATGATGGGTGGATGATAGATGGATGGACAGAACGGTAGAATGATGGATGGATTGATAGAGGGATAGAATGATGATAGAACAATGGATGGATGATGGGTGGATGATAGATGGATGGACAGAACGGTAGAATGATGGATGGAATGATAGAGTGATAGAATGATGATAGAACAATGGATGGATGATGGATGGATGATAGATGGATGGATAGAATGGTAGAATGATAGATGATGGATGGATGGATGGATGGATGGAATGATGATAAAAAAATGGATGGATGATGTGTGGATGATAGATGGATGGACAGAACAGTAGAATGATTGATGGATGGGCAAATGATGGATAGAACGTTAGAATGATGGATGGATGGATGGATGGAATGATAGAATGATGATAGAACAATGGATGGATGATGGGTGGATGATAGATGGATGGATAGAATGGCAGAACAATGGATGGATGGATGGATGGATATGCAAATGATGGATAGAATGATGGATTGATGGATGGATGGAATGATAGAATGATAATGAAACAATGAATGGATGATGGGTGGATGATAGATGGATGGACAGAACGGTAGAATGATGGATGGATGGATGGATGGATGGATGGATGGATGGAATGGTGATAGAACAATGGATGGATGATGGGTGGATAAAATTATAGATATATTTTGCTCTTATAAATATAGGTTAGAAAGGGGAAATTTCTTGTTTATGTCTGAATCAAACTCAATCCCAACTTGTGCTGAAACACAGTAATTCAGTCTTAATGGTCCTAAAAACAGGCTTCATTTCCTTTGAGCTAGTGATGTGTCGTTTGCGAATGAGCCGGCTCTAAGAGCCGATTCTTTGTAGCGAACGAGAAGAGCCGACTCCCGTCGGAGAGAGCCAAATCTTCAGCCGGAGCCTTCTATTTTAGGCTAATTTAGCAATTGTGAATGGTTTGTGTGTTGGTAAGCAAATTTTTTTTATTTTGTGTTTTCATAAATGCCTTATTTTTATGCATTTTTTCGTTACAAAAACAAAAAATACACATGCGGCTAATCACATGGGAGGACAGACTAGGATCATACTATTCTGTGAAAGAGACATTCAGTGTTGTATGATAAACATGACTCATAACAGTACGACTACAGTAAAAAAGCTTTTACTGTTCTAAAAACACAGAGTTGTGGCCATTATTGGAATTGAAAAGGTTAGAATAAACCCGAAACACACGTGATCGTTGTCATGCGGTGAATCTGGCCAATCGTGAAACAGCAGTGTCTTCATCAGGGCTCCTGCAGTCGCTCTGGAGAAACTGCGGCGGCTGAGTCAACCGGCTGCTCTCGAATCGCTCTCGCGGTACTTTGATGCCACACATGACAGTCACGTGGCGTCGGCGTCATCTCAAGTCGGACAAAATTTCTAACCAGCATGCACTGCTTCAAGTCAGAATTTGTTCGATCTGCGCAGCGCTGCGTTAAGTCGAATGCACCTAAGCTCTGAAGATAGCAAGTGTAGTGGTATAGGCCAGGTACACAGAGCAACAAGAGAGACGGGGGAGCCGGATGCAAGCGTTAAGGTTGGAAGACACTGCATTGTTGCAACATCGGTCTCCTCAGAGAGAGTATTCTCAAAAATAGGACAAATAATCAAAGAGAGGAGAGATCGCATCAGCACATCCAAGCTGAGGCATCTGATATTTCTGAATGCCAACCTGCACTAAAGACTAAGTGTCTTTTTTTTTGACTAAATGTTAAGACTTTTGCCTTTATTTATGTGTTTTCTGTGGTTGCTGTGGTTCTGTGTTCAATTGTTCAATTAAAGTTTTATTAAAATGTTAAATAATAGTATCTGTGTATTTAATTTTTTTTGTAACGAAAAAAAACTGCATAAAAATAAGGCTTTTATGAAAACAATGAATAAAAAATTGCTTACCAACACACAAACCATTCACAATTGCTAAATTGGGCTAAAATAAAAGGCTCAGAGTGATACTAAATAAAGAGCCAGTTGGGAGCCTTAAGAGCCGGCTCTTCTAAGGGAGCCGAGCCAAAAGAGCCAAATCTTTGAAAAGAGCCGAACTTCCCATCACTACTTTGAGCCAGATATACCAATTTTATGTCCTGTGATTTTGGGGTGTAACATGAGCCTGGGCAGGTTTGGTTAGGTTTGGTTTGGCTGCGTGTGTGTTTTACCGATGCATGTGCGCCTGTCCACGTGCAGTCGAGATCCAACGTTACACTGGCAGTGGTAGGAACCCCTGGTGTTCACACACGTGTGCTGGCAGCCACCGTTATGCACCTGGCATTCGTCAATATCTGCGGAAGAACATATTAACACACAATTTAATACTGTGTTATGAAACATTCATCAGATTCAGGTAAGGCCTGGTATTAGTACGTCTTTAATTCACCTCTAATTTCTGCACACTAAATCAGTTGGTCCAAATTCAAATCTGCTGGCCTGGGAAAAACGTCGGACATCAGGAGTAAATAAATAACAAACTCCTTATGTACAAACTCAAGCAGTGAGATTACAAATAAACAAAGTGAAGTGGTCATTTGTTTCACATCAAGATATAGAACAAATCACAAAAAAGAGAAAACAAGTACATTCACGGTTCATTGAAATGTTGTAGGTTCTCAAACAGTTTTATGGCTTTTGAAGCTACATTGCCCACTGAGATCAGAGCTAATAGAGTCACGGCCTGTTGAGAAAGACACTGTTACTGCTCTGAGATCAGCTTTCAGACAGACATGCTTCATTGGCACAGCTGCTATCCCCAAACTAAAATGTCTTTCCCACGTCGCTTGACTTCATGAGTGTAAACTCACAAAAAATGCAAGAGAAACTGGAAAAGTATCAGATGGTCATTTTATATATGTATGTATGTATATACTAGGGATGCCACAATTCTCAATATAATATTGAACCGATATCCATGGTTCAATATGCACTTGTGACTTCTCATTACACTGCCCTTGTAATGAGAAGCGTTTCTAAACCAGGGGTGTATTCCAGAAAGCAAGGTTAACTTACCGTCACTTACACCCTGAACTCTCGGCTGATTAACCCAAACCTTGTTTACTTGAGGTATGCTAGATTGTATATATTCATAATTATTATGAAAATACCTGAGATGGCTTGAAGAACACAGATAACCTACACATTGTAGCAGTCGAGTGTTTATTGTCTTCATGTTTCATAATTTAAAGCGTTTCTTCTTTTTACTCAGCTACAGCGAGAGCTGGATCAGAGTCCTGCACACGCACGGGTAGCCGCGGGTGAACCGCTAATATTTGATGTAACAGGTGGAATAATATTTATGTGTCGGGTGCAGTGCAGGTGCGGATCGGATGGGTGACGGGCACGGGTGGGTTGCGGGTCCAATAGACAACTATTTCGACTAAATCCGCTGATACACGCTGATAGGAAGCTGCTTTCAAAGGGTCTCGTGCTTGTGTTCACATTCTGTCTGAAGACCGTTAAAGGCTTCTCATTACAGCGCGATTTGCAGCACTAAGCATTATATTACAGCAGCTGTAGCGATTACATTAAACGGAGCACTTTTTGCTCGCTTTCTGTATTTAATGTATTCACAATAATAATAAAAGTTTAAGCCTTCTTTTAATCTAGGCCTTTTAGACCTCTAAACGTCTTGTATAGCATGGCCCTGTGATGTAATTTACAGTATGCACAATTTTTTCAAAATAGATTGCTCACATGAGTTATACAATAGTTTTATATTGTTTACACGATACACACTTTCACTCAGAAATTGCTATTAAATTTCACAAATATTTACAAAAAAACAGCAAGTAACAGATTGAAAATATGAAATTTTGAAGTAGACAAACTAAAATAGTATACTTTCTTGTAAAACATACGCCATTAATCTTTATTGTTTTTACAACTTCGAAAAATAGTTTTTTTACAGTGTTGTTGGACTTGGTGTAAATTCATCTGTTCACATCATTGCCACCTATATGTAAATATACTATTATTTGAATATAAATATCTTTCAAGTAAACAAATATTTATAATTTCTCAAGATGCAAGCAACATTTACTTTAATATGCATCTTGAGAAATTACAGTTTCAAAGAAGCTTCCCAACACTGTAAGTCACAGCTCAGAAATAAATGTTTCTGCCACATTTTTGCTGCTTGATTCAGAGTAAACTAACATGAAACACACAGGCAGTCAACTCTTGTTGATTTGACTGCTCCTGCGGGTGTCCTCTCCTGCTAAGAGGGAAAAAATCCTAAAAATCACTCAGTTACGACTGTCTAGATCCATACGATCCCACAGCAGGTCTCTTTAGCCTTACGCTCCAAACAAAACCTGCAAGACGCCGCCAACGCAAGCGCCACTGACTCCAAAACAAACACATGAGCTTTGTGTTCGAGCGACCTTTGACCTATAATATACTAATGACCAGCTTTGTGTTTCTGTCACCTCATGACATCACCACAGGAGACGTTTTCATTGGCCGGTTTTACATTGATAGCTGTAATTTTGTAATAGGAGCCAAATGGAATATACAATTTTCCTTTACAAAGATTCATGTGCGAGTTTGATCAAATCATGCTCGGACAAAACATCTTTAGTTGAAGTTTGTCTAAAGAAGTTATTTAAATCTGGTAACAATCTTTTTATATACTTCACCAGCTGAGCTCAATTTTGAGTCTATGAAAGTATCCATGGCACTAAAGGATAGCTGGCATTAAACAGTACATAAAGTCGACTGGTAATGGGAACCAGCTGAGTGTTTACCTATCGTGGAATCTTAATTACTAACTGAGATGCCAGGAGGCCTCAATAATCACAGGCTTCCTGCAAAGTAGGGCTGTGCAATATATCGAAATATCGCAAATGTACATATCGCAATATGCATATCGCTATGGCTTGCAATATTTGGGCCATGAACAAAAGACAGAGAAAATCACTCACTGCTCTTACCTAAATAACTTTTGTAGCTTAAATAAGAATCAGTGCATATTGAATTCAAAGAGTAAATTCTAAGCAGTTTTTTATTTTTCCTTTTTATTATTCAGTTCCTAAACTCATGTTAAAATGATTACACTAATGTTAAAATGACATTTTTATGTAATGCTCGAGTAAAACACTACCATTCACTTTCAGAAGTTGTTGTAGGGGTGCTTTCTTCTCACAAAAAGTGAAACGTATGCTAGTTATATTAGAATCAGAATGAGCTTTATTCACCACTTAAGTGTGCACAAACACAAGGAATTTGTTGTGGTTTTACAGGAACTCTTGATACATACATACACGCATACAAATAACCATATATATATGACACAAGATAGTTATAGAAGTTCACAGAACTGACTCAGCAACTGACTCTGAGTAAAACTGTTTCATCTGAGCATGTGGCACTTTAAGCAATATCGTATCGCATATCGAATATCGCATTATTTAACGAGTTATTGCATATCGCATTTTTCTTCAATATCGCACAGCCCTACTGCAAAGTTTAACTTTGCTGCAAATATATTAAAATAGGTCCGATACATTTATTTATTTGCATTCTGACATTATTATCACAGCAAGACAATATTTCTTATACAGCCTTTAATTTATGCTGATTTCAATAAAACTATTTTAAAAACGTAATTAGAATTTGAGAAGAAAACATTTTACTTTTATATTTTATTATACTTTTAATTGTGATGAAAAATAGCAGAATGCAAAAAAAAAACATTGGTACAATTTATATATATATATATATATATATATATAAATGGTCAAAAGTTTACATACACCTTGCAGAATCTGCTAAATTATTTATTGAAATTATTATTTTTCTAAAATAAGAGGGATCGTACAAAATGATTTAGCACTGTCTGGAATAAGATATTTTACATAAAAGATGTTTGCATATAGTCCACAAGACAAAATAAGAGCTGAATTTATAAAAAATGACCCCCTTCAAAAGTTTAGATACGCTTGATTCTTAATACCTTTTTTATAATATTATTACTATTTTATATTATAGTGTTTTTTATCTATTATTATTGTATCATTTTTGAACCCTTCCTAGCAGTGACTGTATGATTTGAAGATCCATCTTTTTACGATGACGACAACTGAGGGACTCAAACTATTACAAAAGGTTCGAACATTTACTGATGCATTAAGAGCTGGGGATAAAGACTTCCTGAATCTGAAGATCACAATAAACTGTACGTATTTTGTCTTCTTTCTTTTTTGTTTTTGAAACAATTCAATTCCAATGCTAAGAACATCAAACAAACCTCGAACTGAATTGACTTCTTGAACAGTCTTTTGATTTTTAATTTCCCACTGATGTGGCATCTTTCGGCAAATCACCGCAGATTCTGGTTATAATAACAGCCTGGAAAGCACATGCGAAAACACAGTCGCCAAAACACAATATTCACCAATTTGACTGATTACTGCAGCCTTCTGAACTCCAAAATCTGGCTTGGCGTTTCAAAGGTTAGTTCTGGTTCATCCGTCACTGGAATCAGAATGACCCACACGCTTTAGTAATACTTCAACTATGCATGCTGATTCTGAGCCACTGATTCATGCCTGTGCCAGAAAAGTGTCTCCAGCCAGGAAAGCTGGCAGACCCGAGCTGACTTTCCATCTACACTGCTGTTTGGTTGGGGTTTTAATTAAATTACAAAGTTACGTTTCCCCTCATCGGTGGGGAATTTGGTTTGGCTTCTATTGAACACTCTGGAACGCTAAACAGTGTTTATAGATGTAGCTCGAGGCGAGCGGCACGCTGAGTCAGCGGAGGAAGTTCCTGACTGTGTTCTGTGTTCTGCCTCGAAAACACTGATGACAGACGACCTTATACTGTTAACAAGATGTTTTAGACATTCTAACCGTGGAAATCATATCTGATGCTTGCTAATCATTTTACTAATTGAAAGATCAAAACATCTTACAGACTTGGAGGTGGGTTGCGGCAAGAACCCCCCACATTTTCTTCAGAATTGATATGTATTTAAAAAAATGTTTTTAATTAATTTAATTTGTATTTGAATTTCATAAGAGACAAAGGTAATAAGCATACAGTGTTGGGTGTAATGCATTATTAAGTAACTAATTACTAGTAACTAATTACTGTAATTTAATTACTTTTCCCTTGAAAAGTAAGGGATTACTCTTAATTTTTTCTGTAATATAATTACAGTTACTTCTGATGTAACTCCATTAAATATAAAACAATTCTATATAAAGCAATAGTGGATTTAACATCAAATTTTAATATCTAATAAATTTAAAAGTATGTTTTTATTGAAACCTTCCCAAATACTTTGGTAAGTTCAAGAAAAATGTATGCAATTTTATATTATTTATTTGAAAGAATTAAAAGAGCAGTTTCATGTCTATCCTTGTATTGTTCAACTGGTCGAGGTTAATATGGAACATTGAAAGTAATTAGTAACAAGTTATGCAATACTTTTTAGAGAGAGTAATCAGTACAGTAATCTAATTACACTGTTGAAAATGTAATTAGTAGCTAGTAATTGATTAAGAGTTGTTTAGAGTAACTTACCCAACACTGTTATATATATTTAGTTTTGGATAACTAAAAGAAAACGACTAAAAACTGTTTTCATTAACTGAAATAAAACTGAAATCAAATGTAATTATTAGAAAATAAATTAAGATATAATTATTAGAAAATGTAATATAATATAATATAATATAATATAATAATTAATTAATTATTATA